AGTTCTCCACTGGCTCTGACCTGCTCATGGTGTCAGACAGTTGGCTATGGAGAGTTCCTCCTGATGGTCTCACATTGCCAAGAGGGAGGAAAGTACCAAAGCTCCATGCAATGGCTAAGGCACCCACTGGCTGGCCACCCTGTAAGACGGGGACAGAGTGCTCCGGGCTGACTGTGTCTCTGACTTCAGGGATACGTTGAAGGCATAATATAGCAAGGCTGTTCCCACATCAGTATGGATGCAGGACATGTCCATCTGCAAACATGGACTCTCTGCCTGGGATGTTCGTCTCTCTACACAACTTATAATAGGAACATTTTGGAGATACAGTATTATCCGCTGTCACAGAGGCTCATTTGATCAGCAACGTCTTCTTTTTCGAGCGAGTGGTGATCCCTTCCTGTTCTGGAAATGTGGCATCTGTAGTAGCCATTCTTCTTCCAAACACATTTCCTGTTCAACCAGCAATTCTGTACATTACATATACTGATACTTTTCGTGGATATTGTACAAATCTAGGCAGGTTCAGGACACCTTCCAAATGCTAACAAATTTTATTTACTATAAGCTTAAGACCACCGTTTTTAGCAGCCACCATTGAGACCTCTACCTGTAATCCAGAAGGATTGTCAGTAATTCTTAACAGGCAATGAATGCCCATCAACGTGATGGACATCTTCCATTTCCATTCCGTTTTCTGTTCTCCTCACCGCTGTACAAATGTTTCCCAACAGACTATGTTCCCTGCATCTGAAGAAGTGGACTTTGGCCCACAAAAATGTATTGCACAATAAAATGGGTTAGCCTTACAGATGCTACAGGACTCTTTGTAGCATGCATGTGCACGTGCGCGCGCGCGCGCGCACACACACACACACACACACAGAGCGAGAGCAAGAGAGAGAGAGAGAGCGAGAGCGCAGCTGTTTGAAGAGCAGTTTTGAAGAAAGAAGACAAATCCGCATTGGGTGCATTTCTTTTTTTTTATTTTATATACAAATAAAATATACAGGGTTTTTTGTTTGTTTTTTTAAAAAAAAGCAAAATCATGTGAACATAAAGTCAGTCAGAGCCTCATTCCTCTTTCTTCCCTGAAAGATCTGTTTATGCTCTCTGATTGCAAATACCAATATCTAGTCATAAAGATGGACTTTGTACTTGGCTCCCTGATAAAGACATAGCATTGTGCAGGTGCTGCACCCTTTTCACAGTGAAGAAACTAGCTGTGGATAAAGATCTCGCAGTTATGACAAAAAAATATGTGCAACAATCGTTCCTCCAGTACGGTCGATCGCCTTCCATTATCCCATGCAAGCAGACATCAGGGAGAGGTTTGTGCTCATCTAGTCCCATGTTCCTCTCAGTAGAGGCTGGTCTGTGAGTGTAAGAGGAACTTTGTTCCCACCGACACTCCCTGGTCTGGTGGCTAGAGAGGGTGTAGAACCTGTTCCTACCCAGCTACTCAGCCATCTGGCAGCAAAGCGTGGAGTACAAGAGCCTGGACACTGAGTGAACAAACTTAAAAGGTTTCTCTTTCAGTTGAGAGAGAGAGAGCGAGAGAGAGAGAGAGAGAGC